TTTTAGCTCAAAAAATTTTTATACTAAAAAAATACTTCAAAAAGCATTAAGAAAACTATCTCAAATGAAGCTATAATGTGCATCTTGTTCTCCTCTATATTATGATAAGAGAATTTAGATATTAGAGAGAATATCTTCTCTGTAAAGCCCGGGGATGATAAAAAATCTAAACAAATAGTTTAAATAATTTCAAATAGTGGTTTTGATAAATTAAACGGGGATTTACATACATACCACTTTATTTTAAGCTATTTACTTATCTAAAACCTAAAACATTAATATTGCATGACTATCCCCATAGATCAAATTTGAGTGCATGCATGGAATGAAATATCAAAGTTTATAGGATGTATGAATGGTAGAAATGAATTATATGTGTGGTATATTTGATATTAACGTTTTATATGACTGGTAGATATGTACTATTAATATTTTGGGTGTAAGATATATAAATAGCATGAAATAAAGTGATATGTATGTAAACTTTCCTAAATTAAAATATCCCAACAAATGAGATAGTCATATGTTTCTAGCCACCAAGTCAAGCAATAAATTTTCATGATAAAAATACAATCCATAATATTAGGTTTTGATGTGTAGATAGATATACCAAGATATTTTCATTGTAAGGGGCACATTTAATATCCAACATTGATGACAACATATTTTGAGTGTCATGCATCATACTTTTTGAAAAGAAAATATTAAATTAGGTATGATTAATTCTCAAGTTTTCAAGACGATCCTCGAATTCACCCAAGAAGTTTTTGAGATATTGGATGATAGAGTGTTAATTAGGTTTGCGAAAAATAAAGAGTTCATTTGTAGAAGTTAAGAGTGTTAATTAGGGCCAGTGAATCAGCCAACATGCAGCCTCGCGGGCTTGTTTGACAAGCGTGAACAAACCGTTTGAGTTGTGATGAATAATATGTTGGATTTGTTACATTTTTATATATAAATTAGACTTTTTCATAATTATTAAAATTAACATAATAATAATAATTTATTTTAATATTAATTATTATAACATAATTTAATTAATAACATAATAATAATAATTACTTATTTTAATTATTAAAATTAACTTAATAATAAATTTGACTTTCTTAATAAATTAAAATGAACTAATATTTCTAATATTTGAAATTTAATTAACAATATTACTAATATTTATATTATTTATAATAATTGAAATTCATATTAAAATTAACAATATTTAAATTAATTAATTCAATTTAACGGTGTTGAGATGGAGGGTTGTGGCCAAGTTTTAGTTAATGAATGCTCATATAGTGTGCAAGGGACTGAGGTAGAAGTGGCCCAGTGGGCCGTAGAGTTTGTTGTCATTTTATTTGGGCTTTGATTGGACCCATCCAAGAAGCTATCAAATTTGTTCTTGGTGAAGAGTTTGAGAATTTGGAACTTCAATAGAAGATTGTTTTTCGCTTGCCATATATGTTTTGAAGTTTGCAATAAAAGTTTTGAGGGAGGAGTAGATAGAGCAATTGCCGAGGTTGAGAGTAGCAATGAGGTTTGTGATGGCTTTTTTGCTATTTCTTAAAGCTGTTTTTTAGTAGAAAAAATTTAATTTTTATATTAAAAAGCTGCTTTAAGAAGCAGCAAAAAAGCCGTCTCAAATGAAACCTGAACCATTCGGAGGGAAGAATGCGGCAGCTGAAGAAGATAGGGAGGTTTATAGCAGTTGGTTTGTGAAGGGGAAGGATTACCACAATGCTAGATATCATGCTGAAACTATTGTTATAGCAAGCAAGCAAGCCCTAACGACATAGCGGAGGAGGAAGAAAATGAAAAAGCTGAGAGAACAGAAAAACTGTTTTTTTCTTCAATTACTCTGTTAGTTGGTAATTGAATATTCATTGTTTTATAGACTTAGGCTTCGTTTGAGACGGATTTTTTTAATGCTTCTTAAAGCAGCTTTTTAGCACAAAAAATTTAATTTTTGTACTAAAAGTTACTTTAAGAAGCAGTAAGAAAGCCGTCCAAAACAAAACTTTTGAGACAAATTCATTCATTCTACATTTCTACGGTACTATAAGAAGTGGTTAGCAGTTCTGCAGTGGTGATATTTACATCTAATTAATACTGAAACATCAAAAGAAAATCTAATACCCAAAAAATAAAATTTATAAAAAACCAGAAAAAAAAACTCTTCAAACGCCTTATCCCCGTCTTTACAATCTATAAAATAGCTAAATCACTGAATTACAAGGCATGACTGACGCTGAAGCCAAACTAAAGTTCTGCAAAAGCCCAGCAGCAATCCAATGAAACTCAACGAACAAATCATATTAAACAGAACTACAAAAGGCCACTAAGGCTACGTTTGATGTTTAGTTTGAGACTGTTTTTTAACTATTTTTAAAGATAGTTTTTAAGTACAAAATTTTTTAAAATTAAAATTGTTGGAGTAGAAAGCTGCTTTAGAAATCAATAAGCTAAGAAAGCTATTTCAAATAAAGCTTGAGAAATCGATAGTTTTCTAACGCTATTTTTTCGCTGCTTTAAAGAATATTTTACACTAAAAAGTTGATTAAGAACATAATAAAAAAATTGTCCCAACTAAAATCTAAGAGAATTCAATCAAAGCAATGCATAGAACACAGTTCATACTATATAGGGATCAACATTATAGTTATATTTTCAACGAACTAAAACAAAAATCAGAAAAAAATGAATAAATAAATAAAAGCTTAAATTATATATCAAGTTATTCATTCTGTGTTTTTTCAATGAATTTTTTTGATGATTTTAATGCATTTGTCTATTCCTATGAAAAGAAAGATTATTATTTCTTCTATTTTAAAAATAACATCTTATATGGTTTTCAAACTCATACTCTCTCCTTTAATTATGAAAATTATTTATGGAGTAACCTTCTTCAATTTTTATTTTGGAGTACAGCTCAAAATAATTCCCCCCTTTTTTTATAATACCCACTGAGTGGCCGAATTACAAGTCTTTAATGAACCATCAGCTCTTAAAATACAACATCAAAATAATTCCTTGATTAATTATTTGTAAATGACTAATTTAGGCTTCGGTTGGGATAACTTTATACCACTATTTTTTCTCTATTTTTAAAAAACTTTTGTACTAAAAAATTACTTTACAAAACAATAAAAAAGCCTTCCAAATTAAACGTTAGGCTTCATTTTGGACGGCTTTCTTACTGCTTCTTAAAGAGGCTTTATATACTAGAAAGCCACTTTAAAAAGTAGTAAAAAAACCGTTCTAATTGAAGTCTTAATTAGTCTCAGAGTATCACGTTGCTAGAGTTTAGTCCATTGACTATACAAAATTGATTCAAAATTATCCCTTTGAGAATAAATTGCGATCAATTTTTTGTATAGTCAAGGGACTAAGTTGGAATCAATTTTATATCTTTAATACAACATGAACCCTTTTGAGTAAATATTATATAGTCAAGGGATTAAATTGAAGCAATATGATATTCTAGAACAAAATTATTTAAAAATTATTTTAAAATTTGATTATTTTTATAATAATTTATTCATTTATCTATCATATAAAAAAGCAATCATTGTTAGAGGGCATATATAAATAAACAGCCTTTAAAGCATAATTTTATTCATAAATTTCATCAATCAAAACTATTAAAATGCATTCCAAACATGCTCAATAAATCATATATTTAATTTAAATAATTTAAAAACATCTTTAATTTAATTAAAATAAAAATAATTACCTTATCGTACAATCAATAAATTAAAGCCATTCATTGAGTAGGTTGGGCCAGACTTTAATGTTTTGTTCTATCAGCATTTGTGAAGGGGTTGTTGGCAGGTGGAGGTTTGGAGATATGAGTTCATGAAGAATTATTATGTGCGGAGTACAATCAGGTGAAGACATTTAGATTTTTTTTTCTCTTTTGTACATAGGATATGTACAAGAAAAAATTATTCTCTGTGGCCACGGACCGTCCGGATATAAATTAGAGTGCGTTAGGTCACCCGGTACACAGCGGTAAATAGCAAAAAAGTGATGTGACGCTCTCTGATTTGCCTTCGGACGCCGGTTACCGCACAGAATAATTTTTCATGTACAAGAGAGAAAATTCAGATGTCATCACCTTATTGGAGTCCGGACGGAAAGTTACGTCTAGACTCTGCACGTAATAATCTCTCTATATAGAACTTGAGGTGAATTTCCGAAGAAAATTTTCTTTGTTTGTTTAGGGGAGCTGCAATTGTTGAATTTAATGGTATTTTTGAAAGTATTAAAATTCTACAACAGATATAAATCTAACCTCTGAAATTAGATTTTAGATAGATTTTAGCATTCATAGAGAGTATTTTGTTCGAAAGTATAGAATTATATTACTATCTGCTTATATATATGATCAAGATCGGTGATAGAAAATTTGCTATGTGATAAAATTGCAAGAAATTTTATGACTAATAGGCTCAATGTAGTTACTTGTGAAGCAAACAAACTAAGAGCAATGCCTTCGATAATTTCTTCTAACAAGAACCTTAATAGCTTTTATAATCACTTTCTAGTACAAAATTATTTTTTAGTTCAAAAATTTTTTTGTAAAATTATTTTAAAAAGCATTGAGAATGTCATCCCAAACAAAACCTTAAATTATTGAGCTAATTAAGTCTTCGTTTGTGATGACTTTTTTATTGCTTCTTCAAGCAGCTTTTTAGAAAGTTTGAAGAAGTAGTAAGAAAGCCATTCCAAACAAACCCTAAAACAATCTACTCAAAAGAATATGGAAATGAAGAAAAATTTCTTGTCTACTTCAAGAGCTTTTGAAACTTTTTTTTTTAATAATTATCTTATAAGTGTTATAAAAAATTTTATATTTCTAGCCAAATAGCTTTTTATTTTGATCATTGTAGGTTTAGTTTGGGATGACTTTCTTACTGCTTTAAGAAGCAGCAAGAAAACCGTCTCAAACGAAGCCTAAAAATACATCAATAACTCTCAACTTTTTCTTTCCAAACAGAAATATATCCATATGAATGAAAATGCTCATCCATGATTAATAAAGTGAGAGCTAGCCACACAGCTGGTTCATATAGTTCGATCCAAAACATAGTTCATTGAGATAAGAAAGCAGCGAGATAAATCCGATAGCTCAAAGCCTGAAACACACTTCTACTACAAATATCATAATAAATCAAGCCTTCATTACTTCATTCTCCACCTTCTCTTTCACCTCCACCTCCTTCTTCTTCTCCTCATCTTCCTCAATCACAAAAGCTGCTGCAGGAAAAGTTCTGTAAAGACCAGTGGAGCTGTGGAAGGTAACCTTCCCAGCTGAGCTCTTACCTTCTTCTCCTCCATCAGCTGAGATATCAGTGAGAGTAATCCAGATGAAGAGCTCTTTGGCCTTCACTCCTGTGAGCTTTCTGATCCTCAGATTCTCAACGTAAGCAGTGATTTCAGTGGCGTAGCTCACAAGCTTTCCTATTTTCTTGAAGGTATGCTCTATCTTCTTCTTCTGTTTGAGCCACACAAAACCAGTTTCTTCTATGTAGCCGCACTCTATGATGTCTTTGAGGGGAAGGAGGCCATTGGGAAGGTTAACTTCTTTGAGAAGAAACTGGCATTTTTCATGGCAGAGTGAGTCTCCTTTGTATATCTCTGCCTTTGCCCTCTGATCTTCTGTTACCAGCGACATCTTTTCTCTTCTTGTGCTTGCTAGGTATTACAGAGAGAGGCCAAGTAAGTTCCTTAATATAAAGACTTGGACATTTGTTTGCCCTCTAAGTTGGCAGAGAATTTAAGATTTGCCATTGAAATATTTAATTTTTATAATGATGATATGATAATATGTCTAAAATTATAAGATAAATAATTAAAATAAAAAATATTATCACTGAAACTGTTAAACATCTAATTATTAAATCACATAATAATTATGATAATTATAGAATATATTAATAAACATAAAACTGTGCAGTCATATTCATTAAAAATATCTTCAAAAAATTCCAATGGATTAAAGGACAAAGTGCATTCTAAAATTTATTGTTGATGTCCAATGTCTCAACTAACTTTATAAATGAATGCATTTATTTCTCATAATTATGTAAGTTGGAAGAGTGAGGTGTTAATAAATGATATAACAAGACTTATAAATTTTTTTTGAAACATTTAGTTCAATTAAGGTTTTGTTTGGGACGACTTTCTTACTGCTTCTTAAAACAGCTTTCTAGTATAAAAATTAAAATTTGGGACAACTTTTTTCCTGCTTCTTAAAGTAGCTTGTTAGTACAAAATTTTTAATTTTTTTACTAAAAAGCTGCTTTAAGAAGCAGTAAGAAAGTCGTCCCAAATAAAGCCTAAGACAAACTCACATACACATTATATATGTATGACTCGAATTGATGACCTCTTGGTTGGTAGCCAAAGCTCCCAACTAACAGATCAAGATGAGTTGCATATTCGGCTCGAATCTGACTCAAAAAATTAAGTTAGGATTGATCGATTAAATTTTGGGTATGATACAGTTTGATCTTAAATATCTAAATGTACCCAATTATTATTTCGGTTTGGGCTAAATGTGTTTAGGTTAAATGGCTTAAATTGTATGATCTATATGATAAATGAGTCAAATGGGTTAGGCTCGGATTAATCGAGCAATGATCCAACCAGGTTTAGGGCAAATATTTTAACATATATTATACACGAATTCATTCAACTCGGGTCAATTTTGAATAAAATTTGAACCGATTCATCAACCCGAATTGACACCTGCTAGCCAGGGACATGTGGATGTGAATAAGATATTTGATTTTAAAGCTACCAAATTGTCAACCTAACCATTGTCACGTGAATTTCGTCGGTTGCACGTGATTGCATTTGATTCTGATCATTCATGAAAAGCTACTTTTGGTGCCAGCTGATGCTTTGCAAGCCGTTCGTCCGTGAAATTAGAAAAAGAATTTGAATGAAGATTCCATATATTTGTTACTGAGATTTTTTTTTTAATTATTATATATGTATTAAGGGTTTAAATTAAGATTAGAACTTTATTAAATACAAAAATATTTAAAGTTTTTTTTTTTTATAAAAATATTTAAAGTTGATACGTAACAAAAAATTATCTTAATTGGGCATAAATCTCAAGACATGTATGAATTGGAAATTTCTGAAATTAAAATTGGGACTATCCAAATTTGGATTTTAGCAAATTTATAATCAAAATGAATGTCTCGGTGAGATGAGCCTAAATGAATAGTTTGAAGTGTTTTTAAAAGCTTCATAATATTAATTGGGATACTAAATTATATTCAAATATAGCATTATAGTCAAATCGTGCAGCTTGACGAGACGAATCCCAAAAGCCTAAGATTGCTTAATTCAAGCATCATTATGACACTCAAATGCTTGACGAACGCTCTATGATCAAGAGATTAATAAGAGTCGCCTTTTGGGGCACTCCGAATTTGCTCTAAATCTTCTCCATATTTACGGGCATGCGACTCTAAAAAACTACAAATAAACCTCACTTTCTACATGAACGAGACTTGGGAGGAGGAAACTTGAACTTTGGGCTAGAGATTAAGATAGTTCCAAGGCTCGAAGAATCTCAAAGCTCCACCCAAGCACCACCGCTAGTGAATCCTCGTCGGCCAGTCACTGCTGCTGGACTTTCACCTGTCAACCATTGCTAGGCGTCCACTTTGCCACTGCTGGTAGAGCTCAATTTGGCCGCCACCACACAACTATCTTCAAACCTATCCTTCCGACCTCAGTCACCCACTTACTACGGTTCTCACACTATTGTTACCTAACTACAACCTTCTTACCTCAGTCACCAATCGACTACGACTTCTTTGACCTCCATTGTCAGGCAATGGTCACTCCAACCTCTATTGTCTGTTAACTATGTCCCTTCTGACCTTAGTCGCCTTGCCGACTACAATCCCTTTAACCACTGTCACATGATAATGATCCCTCCAAACTGTGTCACTCAATGATAGTCCCTCTTATCTCTATCACTAGATTATGGTCCCTCTGATGCTTAACTACAATCCTCTGACCACCTTCACCAGATCACGGTCCTTCCAACCTCCATTGCCTACTGACTACAATCCTTGGACCACTATGGTCCTTTTGACTTTAATCACCCATCGACTACTATCCCTCTAACGTCGTCACAGGATAGCGATCTCTCCAACCTCAAATGCTCTTTGACTATGATCCCTCTAACCTCAGTTACCTAATAATGGTCCCTCTAATACATGTTGTCAGTCGACTATGATCCTTCCGACCTTAGTTGCTTGCTGACTATGTTCCCTCCAACCATCTTCACATGATAATGGTCCCTTTAACCTCCATCATCGATACTCTGATCTCTATCGTTGGACTATGGTCCCTCTGACCTACATCGCCAGATTATGGGCCGCAGACCACCTTCACCTAATCATGGTATTTCTGACCTCCGTCGACCCGTAACTATGGTCCTCAAACCATTGTCACATGACTATGATCCTTCTGACCTCGGTTACCCATCGATTATGGTCCATTTTACCTCTTTTGCTCGACAACGGTCCCCCGGATCTCACTTGCTTGACAATGGTCCCTCCTACCTTCATTGCTCGCTAACTATAGTATTTTTTACTTTAGTTGCTCTCTGACTACACTCCCTCCAATCACTATCACACAATAATGGCCCCTGCGACCTCTATCGTCGAACTATGGTCCCGCTGACCTCTATCGCTTGACTATAGTGCTCAGACCATATTGCTCACTCTAATTTCACCCAAATATGGCCCTTCTGACATCTTTTTCCCATTGACTATGGTTCTCAAAATATTGTCTTATGACTACATTCCTTCTGACCTCAATCATCCATCGACTATGGTTCTCAAACCATCATCACCTAATCATAATCCTTTTGACCATAGTCACCCTTCGACTATGATCCATTATACCACCATCGTCATACTACGATCACTCAACTATCATCACTAGACTACGGTCCCTCCAACCTGTGTTACTTAATCTTGATCCCTTCAAACATAATTGCCCAATTATAATCTCCTTGACCTTTGTCGGTCAATAGAGTCTTTGTGACCTCCATTATGTTTGAACTATAATGAACTATTTTATAGCTATTTTTCTATAATTTTCAAAGACCCAAAAAAATTTATATGAATTTTATATTAAAATTATTTAAATTATGCAAATTATATTGATATTATATATTATTTTATTATAAATATCTTAAACCACTTAATATAATTCCTAAAACTGGCTAACAGAGAATACAAGGTGAAATTAGAGAGAGAAGTGAGGAGAGAGAGAAAAGAAAACTCAGGATTTGAAGGTTATAGAGCGATTTTTGCCTGTCAATCCTATTGAGAAATTTGCATGTCTCATTGTAAGGAATCATTTCCATTTTTCTGATTTCAATAACTTTTTATATTTGAAATTTTTTTGATCAAATTTGTATTTTTGTTATCGAAAATGAGGATAATATTGTATTAGTAAAAATTTTGCCTCGTAACTTTTTATATTTTAAAAAAATATATGAGCTTTTTCTTTTAAAAAAATATTGTAGTAAAACTCAGATTGATTATTTTCTTGTTAGAAAAACATATATCATTTGCATTACAGAGATTGTAAAATTATTTTAAGTGAAAGTCTATGTATCCAACACTGCTTATTAGTTTTGGACTTTAAGATGAAGGGGCAAAGTATGAAAAGTATAGTATATCATTATTACATGATTAGATGGTGGCATTTAAAAAACTCTAAAAAAATATTTTTAAGAGTAAGATTCATGATCTTAAGATTTTGTCAGTGTCTAATGTTATGTGGGAAATAGTAGCTTGTAATATTAAGAATATTGTAAAGAATGTACTTTGAGTATTAAAAGAAAAAGCTTATGATATTAAAAATAGTTTGTGGTGAAATCTAAATGTGCAAGAAGAGATAAAAAATAAAAAGCTATGTTATAAAAATTAGTTTAGATGTATAAATTTTAAAAATTGAGAAAGATATAAAGTTGCCGTAAGGAGTCTAAGAAAGCATTCTACGATACAAAGACTTTAGCTTTTAATTATTTATTTAATAAATTATATACTAAATAAGGCAAAAGTTATATGTATAAGCTAGCCAAACAAGGAGATATGAGTAGTACATTAATGATGAAGATCAAAAAGTACTTTTTTAGAAGAGAATATTCAACAAAGGTGAATGAGATATTTTGCTAATCTTTTCAATGAAGATTATGTAAATACAATTGACCTTTGTTGACCTCGTTTTTGTACAATTTCTTCTCGAGCGTGTTTGGTTGACTTAATTGAGTCTCGTCGAACTCAATGTGAGCTCGAAGCGACTCGAGTCAAGTTAAATTGGACCTGATGAATTTTTGATTAAGCTCGATCGACTCGATCGGACCACGACAAATCTAATTTGGGTCATGACGGTGTCGATTTGAGTGAAATTTTATTAATGTATTTTTAATTGAATCAAATTGAACCCAAGGTAACTCGATTTGAATCGAATCGAGTTCAGTTTGAATTAAATTTAACCCAAATCATTTTATTATTATTATTATTGGCTTTATTTTTTTTTAAGTTTTGCTCTTAGATATTGCCTCGATTCGAAGCAGAATGTGAGCAGCCAACAGGGAATGTCGAGGCGTCGGACACGACATTCGTTGCAAACTTCGATTCTCGCATGGAGGAGGCGAATTCAAAGAGCCAAA